GTGTGTGTGTGTGTGTGTGTGTATGTGTGTGAAAAGAGAGAGAGAGAGAGAGAGAGAGAGAGAGAGAGAGAGAGAGAGAGAGAGAGAGAGAGAGATGGGACCGTCAGGACTGCTTGTGTGGACATACAATCCTCGTGATAGACTAAAATGAGGTATTATTCACACCTTTCGTGTGTTTTTTGCGGCAGAGCAATGATGGAAGAGATGAAGAGCCAGTCGATTTTGGTGAGTGGAGAAAGTGGTGCTGGTAAAACGGAGACAACAAAACAAATCATGCAGTACCTGGCTTTCGTGGGAGGACGGACAGTGGGTGACAATAGATCAGTCGAGCAGCAAGTACTCCAGGTGAGCTTTCTAAGTTTTCTGTAAATTGCATGTCTTGTCCTTTTTCGTCACGTTCTGGCAACGTGGACGTGGTGATTAATGGAGTTAATTTGCTGGAGCCATAGTTAGTTCCATAGGCACCCGATAGATGGGTGGGAAATCCCTGTGATACTGGTGTGAATGCATCTTTGGGATGCATCAGATGAGATGCAGGTGCATCACAATCTTGCTGGGAGTGGAAGTTGCAAACTTGCGTGAACAGGAATGCAAGTATGAATGCTACAGATGTAGCTGTTGATGAACAGATGATGGAATCAGATGGAGAGAATAATGTTCCGGTTTACCTTCTTCCCAAAGGCAGAAGAAAAAGGAATACAAAGCTAGGCTGTTTTCTGGTGCAATGGGTACAAATTTTGTGCCCCAACGCATGCCTGGCAGATTGGCCGCAGGAGGTCTGGGCGGTCCCAGGCAACACCAGCGTAAAATTAAACGAAAAATTAATACCTAAAAGAATCTGTAAAAAAAAACTATGTTGTGTAGATGTGGCATACTGCGTAGCCACACGGGCCCTGCAGGGCCCATCCCGGACTTTCAGCCTAAAAGCCTAAAAGTTAGGGCTTACAGGCCCCGATCGTTTCAGCCTGGAAGCTGAAATACGAGGGCCTGCAGGCCCTATTCCGTTTCAGCCTATTTCTGGGCCTTTCAGGTCCAGAGTTTTTCCAGCCTGAAACGGAGGGCCTTTTTCAGGCCCTCGTTGTTTCGACCACCCCTAAGACTCAGGCACGAATACAGGGTTTCGGAACAGGCCAGAAATAGCCTGTTCCTCACGAGCTGGAGCAGGAGCTGCAGCTGCAGCCCCTGCCTTCCTTCGGCATTGGCAAGAGCAGCCTCCTGGACTGCTCGCACGAGTCAGGAGGCACACCCGGTACTACATAGGAAGTTCCCATGCACTTCACGGGTAGGTAGTGGTCAGTAGGTACAAGTAGTCTTCAGGATTCGGCCGCAGCACTCAGGAGGAGCGCTGCAGTAGTCTTCAGCGCTAGGCAGTAGTTAGCGCTAGTAGTAGTCTTCGGCGCTGGGCGCCCATAGCCATAGTTGTAGTCTTCAGTGCTGGGCGCTATGGTAGGTGGTAGATAGTAGAGTTGGGAGAGACACTGGCGGAGGCCAGTGGTACTAACCGGTGGCGCCATCGCTCCAGCTCCATCTGCGAGGTACCTGCATCAAGGCGCCAACTTCACAGGTTAGTACTGGACAGAGAGAGAGAGGGAGAGAGAGAGAGTTCTTCTTCTTCCTCTTCTAAGTCCACCATCTCTTCTCACCCTCTCGCCACCTGACTTCTCAGACTACGACAGAGAGAGACAGAGTTGTGACTTAAGACTTGACGACATTGGATCCAGACTTGACATTTGGGATTCAGACATTTCGACGAGGGACTATTTGGGCCTGTGCCGAAGACTTCGTGTTGACGACATTCCCATCTTTCCCCTCCTCTTCGTCTAACCCCTTCTTCTTCGTCTGTGTATGGTAGGGGCTGGCGCAGTCTTCCTGTGTGAAGCGCCAGACCCCATTCACACCATGTAAGGATGAGGATGATGTTTGTTCAGGGCTGCATTGCAGTATTGATTGTTCGGATCACTGGTATCTAAGTCTTCCGCTGTGTTATCTTGTACTTTGTATTGAGAGGTCGGTTCTTGTTCTGGTCTGCACGTTACAGTATGCAACAGTAGAACTACAATGCAACTTGGTAATGTGAAGAAGGATAAGAGTAATCAGGGAGCAAGTCAAAGTAAGTACGAAGGTTTTGCCGGGAAAATTTGGGGCTTAAAGGGGTAGGTGTAATGACCTGCCAAACACGGACTGAGACGCACAGCTGATTTCTGAGTTTTGCTCATGGAATGCATGCCCTGCTGAGTTTCCTGAGTGTTGCTTGCTGTAGGTGTAATGACCTGCCAAACACGGACTGAGTTTTCTAAGTCCGTGTGTGTGCTTGCTTGCTGGTCTGCATGCCTGTCTGAGTGCTTGTCGCGTTGAGTGTGTGTGTGACCCGCAAGGGCACTTGTTCATTTGGAAGGCCTGAAGGGCCGGTACTTACCTGTGGCCGTGACTTGAGGGTTGAAGTGGCGGGGAAAGAGGCCCGCCATCGGGCGGCTCAAGCCTATCGCTACCCTTTACTTCCTTCCAAAAACCCACAGTTGACAGTTGGACTTATCACAAACATCTGTATTCAGAAGCATTTTTTGGGCCAGCAAGAGAAGGTTAACTAATGGCGAACGAGGCACGGAGAAAGATCCTGTTCTGACGATAATTTTTAAGAGTACAGATGCATGCTGCGCCTGCAACAGGCTGCACGGGCGATTTCCAGGCCCGTGACGTTTTCAGGCCAAAAGCCTGAAAACAAGGGCCTACAGGTCGTGTGTCATTTACAGGCCCTGTGTCGTTTCAGGCTAGATCAGGGCCTTCCGGCCCTGAGTGTTTTCAGCCTGAAACTGAGGGTCATTTTCGGGCCCTCATCAGTTCGACCTGCCCTGAAACTCAGGCAACAAACCAGGGTTTTAGCACAGGCCATTTCGGGCCTGTTTTCAAGACAACCCCTGGTTGAGCTTCAACGCCAGGGTCTGGCACGTTTCGGCATTGGCAAGAGCAGCCTCCTGGACGGGCCAGCACTATATAGGACTGGCCCGCTGTGCAGGTAGGCAGGTAGTTCCTAGGTACGTCCCAGGCACTTCACGTGCAGTTCAGGAGGCAGGAAGTAGTCTTCAGGATTCGGTAGCAGCACTCTGGAGGAGCGCTGCAGGAGTAGTAGTAGCATTAGCTGTAGTCTTCAGCGCTGGGCCCCAAGAGTAGTACTATAGAGAGAGAGATTGGGCGGAGGCCAGAGAGACTACCTGCAGCGCCATTGCTCCAGCTTCGTCTTCGAGGTACCTGCAGGACATCGCCATCTTCACAGGTTAGTACCTGGCACATGAGAGAGAGAGAGTTCTTCTTCTTCCTCTTCTCAGTCCACCATCTCCTTCTCACCCTCTCACTGACTTCACTGCATCAGCAGACTACGAGAGAGAGAGAGAGAGAGAGAGAGAGAGAGAGAGAGAGAGAG